AGTTGCAGTAGTAGTCGTAGTAGTAGTAGCAGTAGTAGTAGTCGTCGTCGTAGTGGGAGTAGAAGTAGTAGTAACAATAGTAATAGTAGTAGTAGAACTAGTACTAGCAGTAGTAGTAGTAGTAGTAGGAGTACAAGTAAATGTAATCGAAGATTTTGTAATAGAAGTAGTGGCATAGTAGTAGTAGTAGTCGTCGTCGTCGTCGTCGTCGTAGTAGTAGTCGTAGTAGTAGTAGTAGTAGTAGTAGTAGTAGTAGTAGTTGTAGTAGTAGTAGTAGTAGTACCTTTGTTGAGTAGTAGTAGTAGTAGTAGTAGTAGTAGTAGTAGTAGTACCTTTGTTGATGATGATAGCACTTGTTTTTGTCGCTGTTGTAGGGGTGGTGGGTAGGTCTAAACGGGCGGGAGGTGAAGGTTACCGGAGCTGCGTCGGGGCTCCCTTGTCAGGTGGTGAACTCCATGAGCTCCGCTTCAAGCATGTACTTGTCCCCTCCTTGGCTTGGGGTACAAGTACGGTATAAGCTTTCAGGGCTTGTTGTAAGGGTTCAGGGCATAGTAGACAAGTGTAGAGGTTTGGGGCTGCTAAACCGTATGGCTTCTACATTTCGAGCAGAACCGCCCCGAGCCGGGAATGGGATGTTGGGGAAGACCGATAGAGGTGTAAGTAGCTAGCGAGAGGCCATGGGAATAGTCTTCGCAGGCTCAAGGCTTCAAAAGTACAGTTGAGGTTCTGGGCCTTGAAGTAACCAGGGAGAAGAAAGTATAGACTTTTATTTGGTAATGGTTTCCTTTAAGGAACAGATCACCAAAAAACAGTATTAAAGCATGGTACTCCAAAGCCCAGGGTTTCATGGTGAGCAGCTTCGGGTCTCCTCGGAATACCCAAAAACCTCTCCATCTTGGGAATTAGGATTCGGGAGACCTTAGGGGAAAGAGCCCCCTCTAATTACATGAGGTTCCTTTCAAGAGAGCAAGAAGTAGGGTTTAAGAAGGGTCCCCTTTAAGGGGTCTCTCGAAGACTACCTAGGACATCTTCATGAAATCGAGAGGAGCCCATTGTCTGAAAAAGTGCGAAGAGACCTGGGCTCGGACGAAGTAGATCTCAACCCAAGAGTTTTTTTTCACAAGGGACTCGTCTGCTGCCCTTACCGCCTAGCTTGACCCGCAAGACAGTATTCAGGACTGTGATGGCCAAGAACCCTACAACCCGAAACCCTTGAGCCCAAACCCAAGAACCTTAAAACTCTCAATGACCCCTTGGGTTTGAGGAGGGTCTGCAGTCTAAAGGACCCTCAAGCCTCAAACCCTGAGGTACAGGGAGGTCGACGCTTTGAGCCCCTTGCGCAGCTCAGGGCCGACCCGGTGGTGTTCCGTGGATCTTCCGGTGTAGAGTTTTGTGAGATGTGTTTATGAAAAGCTGCTTTTTATAAAAGCAATGCAGGGGCTGGGAGCCCCCGGAAACAGCTCTAAAATCTGCCGGGCGGCTGGAGTTGTACGCCCGGGGCTGACATCGAGGCTCACGGTTCCATGTCTGCAAGACCTGCATGCCACACCGTTCCCACTGCTCTTGCTATTTCTCGGGCTCCACCCAGGAACTTGGGTCGGCTTGACGGGCTTGCAAAAACCACTCTTGGGTTGAAGGTTCAGGGGCGCTGCGCGACTTCTTCGATATGCAGATGTATACATACATACATACATACATACATACATACATACATACATACATACATACATACATACATACATACATACATATATATATATACATACATACATACATACATACATACATACTTACTTACACATA